CCCCAAAACCCCAAAACCCCAAAACCCCAAAACCCCAATGCTATGAGTTTCAATTGAAAATGGCAGAAGAACTATGGGTTTGGGACACTAGAAGAGTCATAGTAGCTCTGCTCTTGCACAATAACCTGGCTATAGCTAATACTCTCCTTGCCATTACTATCTGAGGCATCTTCGTAATCAAAGTCTTTGTAGTGCTCGATGAAGTCTCCAAGAGGCCACATCTTCTCCTTTGTGCCAGCAAAGAGTCTGTCGTCTTTTGAGATGAAGAACCTGAACTTCTTGCCTGAGAACTTGAAGTCTGACTGTGAAATCCTCACTAATTTACTTCTATAGGGTTTATGCAAGAAGGTACCTATATTCGTCACTAAAGATTCTGATGATATCTTCTTGATAAGGGACCCAGACTTCTAATGGTCCTTTATCTCCGACATAAAATGCTTCTGGCTTCTCGAAGACATCTCTTGTCATACTATACCATTACAGACTTACAAATACCCTTGCTTCACAATAGTTCTGGCGAATCCTCCGATACCTACTTCATCTCTGGTTTCATCAATGAGATCATCAGGTATAGCTTGTAGCTCAGAATCACGGTTATTCTCCTTTGATTCTTCCTCTTGGATTTTGATTTTCTCTATATTTGACTCATCCAGGAACTCTTGGATGCCAAAATTGTTATTATGACTGATCCTCAATGTTTTAGTTATCGAACCTATTTATAGTAAACCGATCCTTACTCTCTTCGTTAAGCCCTCCTTGCTTGGATTCTTCAACAGTGATGTTGTAGTCTTTCATTCTCTGGTGTAAATTGAAAGTTGAAAGCTCATTTCCAGGTGTGGATTCATCAAGATATGCTTGCTTTGAGTCAGTTTCATGGATCTTAACTATCTCATAATTCTTGCTGACTTCTACAATAGTCTTCCTTTCATCCTCCTCCTGTGCTCTGAGCTGTTGGTCTTCTTGTTCTCTTTTAAGCATCTCTTGGATTTCTTTTTGACGTTTAGCTTGAAGTTCCTTCTCTCTTTTAGCCTCAATCTGTATGGTCATTTGTCTTTCTTCTTGCTTTTTCCTCTGAGCATCCCAGATCCTTTGTCTCTGTGCTTCGATTTCCTGTTTCATCTTTAGCTCACGAGCTTTGAAGCGCTCCTCCTCAATCTGTTTCTGATGTTCAAGCTCTTGACGCTTAGTTTCCTCATATCTTTTCTGGCGTTCAGACTCTTTATCAATTTCTTCAACAAGGAGACGCTCAATTTCTAATTTCTGAGCTTTCTCTTTGGCCAGTCTCTGAAGTTTTAACTTTTCCTTTCTTTCAGCTTCTTGTTGCTCTCTTCTCATTCGTTCCTCAATTTGTCTTTGAAGCTGAGCTTGTCTCTGAGCTTCGAGCTCTTGCTCAGCTTGTAGTTCACGTTTCTCTGCTTCTTCAAGTTTCATGGTTTCTTCCTGAATAGTCATGCGGTACTCATCACTTTTCTCATCTTCTTCGATGTATTTTAAGACTACATCATATCTATGAGCGAGCTGGGCGCACAAATTTATTTCTTGAGTCTATTTTAAGAGAAATAAACGTACCAAATATTCTTTCTGCTTTTGTAGTGTGATTACATCCTGAGTTCTCTCACCAATTTCAGATTGAAGTTTTGCAATATCTGTGTTATCTACATTTGTGTACACCTCTTCGAGTTGTTCTCTAAGAGATATCAGGACGGAGTAAAGGTGATTATGAAGAATAATGTTCTCATCTACGGAAGCTAGTTCCCATAATCCTTCATAATGTCTTGCATCTCTGCTTGCTTCAAATACTTCATGACTAAAATGTTACTTAAAATGATTTACCTTAACCTGATGTTCATAATTGTCTTATTTTTAAGCTTCCTTAAGAGTTCAGTTCTAATACTTTCTCTATCAACAATCTCTATTGTCATTTCCTCTATTACAAAGAGATACCCATCTGGGCCAAGAGGGCCATCAAGGTCTTCAGGAGAGATATTAGCCATGATTATTAATCTTTCCTTGAGCTGTTCTCTTTCTTCAAGCTTTCTCTCTAGCTCTTTCTCAAATTCTCTTCTTAAATTATCTATTGTTATGGGAATAAGCTTACCTATCTGCTCACTGTCAGAGAAGAAATTCGTGCTGAGAGTTGAGTCTTGCTCAAGCCTATTAGCTTTCATAATAAAGTTTTTAATTCTCTGGTAGGCTCCCTCAATATGATCTAATCTTCCTGTAATAAGTCCCAGTAAATTATTATTTTTCCTTGCAGATCTCATCAATCCTGCCTTTATGGAGAGACTCAGAATGATACTTGATCTCTATGTCAAACTGGAGGAATCTGTTGTAGAGATTACAACTACCTAGTTCAATATCTAAGCTGTAGAGGTTTATGAGAAGATTCTTCTTCCTTTTCATTAGCTCCTCAAGGATCTTAAGCTCGGCATCAAACTCGTCTGCCTTTTTAAGGACTTGCTTGGTAGACTCCATTCCTAAGGTCTTGAACTTAAGCTTTGTCTCTGAAAGGACACTTGCCTTGTCCTTCAGAATTTGGTAACAGCTTGATAAACTATCACCACGAGTGGCTAAAATACCCTTCAGAGCTGCAAGTTGATTATTTAAAGCATTAATTGCTTCTAGAAGTTGTGTTTCTCTCTGTTTCTTAAGTCTAGCTGCATTGTCTCTAAGCTTGCTGTCTGTAACCCCATCTGTTGTCTTTGTTACTTCTAATCCATCTCTGACCGTACTCAGGTGTTTCATGTAAAGATTGATATCCTCATATTTTGGTTTTTCTGTGCTCACTCTATATAAATCAAAAATAAAAATTACGAAGATCTTGCATTTTCATGATTATCTTGTATAAACACATTTAAACTATGAGTAGCATTTTTCAGCTTGTCAAGCCTCACTCTCTTTTGTCTTAGCTTGTTCTTGAGTTTGAGGATCTCTTGAGCAAAGGCCATCTTTTGGCCATCAGAAGCTGCATTCTTTGTTCCAGATTTATTTTAGAACTTTTGATTCCTAAAAATTGCTAATGAGCATACCTCAATCCTCGAATTTTGGAGACTTGATAAGACTTTTCCCAAAACTTTTGTCTGAGACGGAGCTGCTGAGAGCCTTGAGGCGTCATATTTCTGCTTCTTTATTTGGCTCTGAAAGATCGAGCTCAATCTTTGTCTCATAGTATCCTTTGACTTTGAGTTGAGATCATTATTGAAACTAAGCTGGACATCCTCAACTGCGTATCTTAGATTTGAGTAATCCACCGTCCTTCTTTGATCTGCAAGCTTCTGGTTACCTTGAGAATTGGAAGTAGAGGTAGTTACAATCTGTGAGATCCTAGGAGCATGTAACATCTGCTCATTAATTTCTTTGTAATGTCTAAACGTAGGCTCCACCTTAGAGTATCCCATTGGGACTCCAGGATCCACAGGAATGTGAGAATATCTCACATTCACCAGAGTCTCTATGGTTGGCCTTTGACTAGTAGAAATTCTCTCTGCTTGCTGGTGCACATCCACATAATTTTCTTTCAGTAATTTATTCGCTATAGATTTCATTGGAGGCAATTGAGCTGAATGGTTTAACTTTGTAGGTTTCTTCTTAAACTTTTTACTAGACTTGCTATACTTGTTTTCCCTATCAATGGCAAAAGTTTCGGCTACAGTCAATCTATCCGCTGAATTAAACTGATCTTTAGTCTTTCTCATCCCTTCTGGGGTCTTGAATGATCTATACGATGAAAAAGTCTGAAGTACCTTATAGGAGATCTATGGCTATGCCTGACTAAACTCTTGCTCAGATGGGTAGGAGACATTTCCACATCAGACTAATATATAACCAAGCCACTTACTCTACTTAAGAAACGACTCTCAACATGGATCGGGTGGATTACATACTTGTTGATAGTAGAAGTTGAAACTGTTGTGTAGACTTCCTTCTTTGTTTGTAAGGAAGGATCTGATGCTATAAACCAATGTTACTCTCATACATCTAAATTAAAGAAAACCAACAAAAATAGCTTTAGAGCGATTTAAGGATTCTTCTTCACAGTTAGATTTTCCTCCGCCAGTGAACCTTGGTGAGTAAAAATGAGTTTGGTGCTTCTCAGTAGTGTTTTCCTAAAAATAGTCTTACTCTTTCTCATTTTAATCTCAAAATAATTTAAATCAAGCAAAAGATTTTATTTAGGGGTTTTGGGGTTTTGGGGTTTTGGGGTTTTGGGGTTTTGGGGTTTTGGGG